CCATGGAGATAGATTGAGAAGTGGTCCCTGCCAGTAAAAGGCTTCCAATCAAAATAGATATAGGCCTATGAACATCTAACCATGATAAGATCAGAATAACAAAAATACTAAATCAAAATTTAAGCAATGTTCTATGAGCATGCACAATTAATTCTGACTAGAGAAACCAGGAAAAGCTTCAAGGAGGAGGAAGGAAAGGAGTTCCATTATTAGTGAGTAGGGAAAAGAGCACCTGGGATTAAGGAACAGCATGCACACACAGAAAAGTGAAGTACTCGGAACAGAAAACTAGAACCCTCATTTTTGTCATATGACTACCACATTCATAATTATGGCCATATCTCCATATCATTGTATGCATGTTTGCTTACTATTCTTTTTTAACTGACTCCATGTTTGCTGAAATAAATTTAAAAGGAAACTTTGTATCATTACTATAAATGGAAATTCAGTGTCTCTTCCCCCAAATATAAAAGTAAATGAATGAAAACAAAACAATGAAATTCTAGTTGAATACTGTTGTCTAACCTGCCCTCTCTTTGTTACAAAGGGAAGCTAATTTAGCAAAATATTGATGACTCCCCCACATCAAATGAAGACTTTCTCCTCAATGTTCTCTGAGGGGTTGAGAGAGAATTCTAAACTACACAAATTTTACTACACAGGTTATTCAATGTCATGTTAGTATATCACCTAGCGTCATTTTGAATCATCGTTCTACACTCTGGGAAACACTGGAAGAGATCAAAGACCCTCAGGAGCTGGCTGAGAGAAGAAAGTAATGAGAGATAAGGCAGAAAGCAGATTTGAGACTTATATGGATCCTGAAGTTCATGCCAAGTCTTTGATCTTCATATGAGGTGCTGGGAAACATTACAGGTAGGTAGTTCCTTAAGCATAAGACTCTGATTGTGGTACAAAGGATAACTGAGCAGAAAAGAGATGAAAAGCTGAGATATTACATCATTTAAGAGCCAGGGGTCTTAATTAGAGAAGGGATGGAAAATAGGTAATGTTGTTCCCCACTGGTACCCCACCCTAAAACATGCTGTGATTACCTGTGTGTTTCTCCATGCTACTTGGTCCTTTATATGAACCAAATCATTATTACCGCATTTCATCAAATGTAAGAAACTATCACATGTGAGATGCACCACCATTTTATATACCACAAAGAAAGAAAAATACTGCCCATTAAATGATGATACACCATCACTTGTAAGAAACATCTAATTTCAGAAATGTTAAAATGTGGGTGGGGGGGTGCTTGTCTTAGAATCAATGAGATACATTATTAATCACTATTGCTTAAAAGCAAGTAATAGAGAACTTGTAAGTTAATTGGTTTTTCAGAAAACAATGAAAAACACATCTGGTACAATGTCCTGCTTGATGTACTAGAACAGTAAATTGTCATCCTTTTCACACAAAACAATATAGAACAGTGATTCTGAGCAGAACCGGGAAGATCCTGGGTTCAAGTCCTCCTTCGATCTCTTACTAGATGTGGCACCTTAGATGAGTAACAAACTCTGAAAGTTTCAGTTGGTTCATCTATAAAATGTTCTTTGTATTTTTCAATATTTACACACAAACCCCCACTGAAGAACTTAAAATAAGAACACTAAGCATTTTCCTGCCCAGATTTGTCAGAAATGACTTTTGGTGAAAGTTAATTATCATTTGTGGTAATATAGGTGGTATTTTTCCCCTTTTTTAACTCATTAGACCCAAGAACCATGGTGCCAACTAGGTTTAGATGATCACTGTATGCTTTACTGATGCCTACTAAAATAGGTTAGAACATGAAGACTGGTCAGTCATAGAGTTGGGTCCCTTACAGGTAGGTTGGTTTGGGTTGCTCAACTTATTAGCCCAGACTCTAGTTCCTCATGAGTTTCTATTCCACAGCTCCTCCTGGACACTAACAAGTCTGCAAATGTGCATTGTCCTGAAGACAACACGTGGAATGGTCCACCCCGCTACAACTCCTGGGAGTAAGAAGCTGTTCCTCCTATTGATGGGGCAGCATCTCTTTCACGTGTGGGTTACTCTACCAAGTACTTTCAAGATGAAACACAATCTGTGCCTCATACCAAGCCTGGGTGTTAGGACAGGACAGGCGTTGCCGCAACTCATAGAAGAAGAAATTGAATACTGAGGGGTCACCATTGGACTTGCCCAAGGTCACACCACTGTATGTAATGTGGCCTGGAAGGAAGCCCAAATCTGGCTCCAAATGTGGTGCTCATCCTACCCACTCCATGCTTCCATGCCATAAAAACATTAGAAAGAGAAAACATTAAGTATAACATTTTGCTCTCCATCCACATTTTCCATTCGTGACCTGTTCTTCATCGGTTCACCAAGTTTTCACACTAGCCTCAATCTCTCCCCCACCTCTTTTCAGTGTTCCTGAGATGCAACAAGTTTCTAGGAGACTCGGCGTGCATGGTACTTTCTGGGGCTGAAGGGGAGTAGACACTGAACCCTTGTCGTTAAGCGTGCAGGAGAGTGCTGTTCTTACCTAGAGCCCACAAGGGGGCAGGGTGACTCAATATGCAGGTGTGCCTAGAATTTGTGGAAGGTGCTGCAAGACGGGCTTCTCCTGGAGTCGAACCCTCAGGGCAGGGGCAGGGCGATGGTGAAGATTCAGACGCAGCTAGGCATGGAGAATGTGGTAGCTTAATATTAAAGTCTGAAACGTGAGTTCTAGGTTTGCTTCCGCAGCTAACAAGCTGGGGGATGTTAGGCAAATTGCTTCCCCTATTATGTAAGGGGTTTGATCTAGTAATCTCTAAGACTAGGCCCCTCTTTAAGACTTGTTGATTCATGCCCTTTATAGTCTAGTGCTAAAGAGCTTTGATAAGGTTCTTACTGTGGGGGGGAGTCCCTGAGCAGATTAAATGAGACAATGTCTACAAAATACTCTTAACGGACAGACAGCCGAGATGTCTGTGGAGCGCCCTCTGTTGGAGGTGGTATCATTACAACATTCTCTACCTGCAGGTCACAAGAGAATTCGTGTCTTAGTATGAGTCTCATTTTTTTTTTCTTCTGAGACCTGACAAAGCAGAATTCATGAAGCCCTGGAAATCACTTTAGAGGTCAAAGAGCACTGCATTGATCCCCACAGCTCAAGCGTCAAACACACGTGTAACTCTCCATGGCACCCCTTTCCCCACACCCTTTCTGGATCTTCTGATTCTTTCATATAAAGATACTCTAATTTCTGCAATTAAAACACTACAGAAGAAGCCTATTAACTCAAACTTGTACAAATCTTAGTGGAACTTGTACAAATTTTTGTCTGCTTATAGTATGATGAAGAGAGCTCTTCATCACTCACCACAGTTACAAAAAGGGCCCTCATTTATCCCCAATTCCAGAACTTGCAGAAACCTTATTTCTGCTTTATAAGTAACATGATAAAGGGTCAATAACTTTAATATAAAGCGATTAGTAAACAGTTAAGAAAAATAAATAGGCCCTATTACTCCATGGACATGGGACATGAACAAAAAGTTCACAAAAAATAAAATAGAAATGGCTAATAAACAATAGAATAAAATGTCAATCCACACTAGTAATCAAAGAAGAATAAATTAAAACATGACATAATCTTAACTGACTGCCAATAATATAAAATGCATTATATGCAGTGCTGATGAGGATGGCATAAGACAGGCATTTCAGCATACTTTAACTGGTACAATCTTCCTGAAAACAATATAGCAGAATATATCAAAAAGTCTTAGTTTGAACTCATATGTACAAAACATGAGGAAATTATCAATGCACATTGATCCTCCAATATCATTCTCCTCTTCCTCAGTTTTTTAACTGAGCACATATCCATTGCAAATAAAATTATATTCTCCAGCCTCCCTTGCAGGTAGGTATGGTCCTGTAAATACGTTCTAGCCTAAGGAATGTAAATGGGGAAGATCAATGCAAATTCCAGATAATGCCCTTAAAAATATACCTTCCTCCCCCTTGTCTCCTTCTTTGCTACTGGCTGGAATGCAACTGGATGGCTACAACTCCATCAGCCATCTTAGATATTGGGGTGGCTTGAGAATGGAAGTCAAGTCACACACAGGGGCACAACAAAATAGAAGGAGCTGGATCAACCACATCCAGACTTCTTAAGTTCAGAAGACAAACTTCTGGAGTACCTGGCTGGCTCAGTCAGTAAAGCCTGGGACCGTTGATCTTGGAGCTGCAAGTTCGAGCCCCACATTGGGTGTAGAGATTACTTAAAAAATAGAAAAATCTTGGGTACCTGTGTTGCTCAGTTGGTTAAGCATCTGCCTTTGGCTCAGGTCATGATCCCAGGTTCCTGGGATCGAGTCCCACATTGTGCTCCCTGCTCTGCGGGGAGTCTGCTTCTCCTTCTGCCCCTCCTCCTCCTTGTTCTCTCAATCTCTCTCTCTCTCTCTCTCCTTCCCTCAAATACATAAATAAACTCTTTAAAAATAAATAAATAAATAATCTTTAAAAAAAGACCAATTTCTATTTAGCTTAAGCCACTATAATTTGTCATTTTACTTGCAGCCAAATCCTAATCCCAAATAACACATGTGTTAATACTGAATGTATTGTAAAATGTTTTACCAAAAAAAGGAAGATGCGGAACAGTGTCAAATATGCTACCACTGCACAAAAAAGGAAAACAAGACACTATCTAGGTGATAGCTGGGTCCCTAAAGAACCATGTCTTTCATTATCCACATCCTGTATAGTTCCTCTTCATCTGAGTTTCCCATATGATTCACTTAAAGCCGAAGAACGTAGAGAAAGTAACACTGTGCCAGTTCCTAGCCTAAGTATTAAGAGGGCTTGTGTGTCAATTATACTACAATTAAATAAAGGGGGAGGTGCCACTGAGATGTTCTTTGCAAATAAATAAATAAATAGTAAATAAATGAATAAATAAATAAATCCAACTATAGGGAAACATTTATATTATGGTCTTTCTTCATTAACATATATTATACAGCACAATGATATGAAAATGCTTATTATATAGAGAGAAAATGATAACATAAAAATTATACTCATATGGAATACGATGTGTACTTTGTAAAAATGCACAGAAAAGGGGCTTGAAGGATCACTTAAAAGTATTAATATCCTCTTAGTGACAGAATAATGGTTTATTATTTTCAAATTTCTTACAAAGAGGATGTTTTATTTTTTCTTTCACTAATTCTATATTTACTTCTAGATGTTCTACTTGGGCTTTTTCCGAATTCTCTCTTGACAGACTTTTTGACAGACTTTTGATTACACATATTACTTGAGATTAGTTAATTCATTTACTCATGTTTTCAGTTCTATTATTTCACTGAACATTTTTAGCTTATCTTATTTCTGTATCCTCTTCTATATCATTGTAACTCCACTGTATGAAGTATTTGAGGGTCTTATTCTGCTATTTGTTGTTTCCCTTGACTCCTAAATACATAACAATTAAATTCTTTGTGTGTCTGCAATTCTGGATCGTGCGATCACATGAGACTATCTGAAACTGTAAAGTGCCACAGGGTCTGGGATAAAGGTACATTTCTCCAGAGAGTATTTACATCCCCATTTCTAAGCACTCTGAGCGCCATCAGTCCAGGCCCTCTAAAGTTAATATCTCATCTAGATCACTCAGACAGTATAAATTCAACCTTAAAGCCAAATGAGGGCAGGGCTGTTGTTAAATTTGGGGGAAAGAGAGACATTTTTCCCCAGTGAGAGCTGAGGCTAAGATACATCTCTTGGTCAACAGAGAGATTTTTTTCTAACTCACTTTTCCATAGAGGATACAGCCCCTTAAGGGCTCTAGCTTCAGATTAGGGTGTCAGTTTCAACTTCCCACATTGCAAGGGCCCAAATCCTGGCTTCTGGTCCCTAGCACAGTAGTCAAAATTTCAGAATCTAAGTTTCTGCTCTCAGCAAACACCCTCAGGGCAAAACGTCAGATTGTGTTTCACATCCACTTTCCATTGTCTTATTTATTTTTAGACCCTGGAAACCACACTCGCTCTTTTTGCAGATATCATAAAAATGTTATCTATACTTTATCCAGCATTCGTAGGTTATTTCAGCAGGATAATTTGTGAGACTATCTGGTCTGCCACCCATATAGCCAGAATTGGAAGTTTGGGTTGATGTTATTGTTATAATCGGAAAAAAATCTAAGTACACAAGAACCTACAAAATGGGGAGAGTCTCACCTGTTGACTATCCTAAAAATCCCTGATACATCATATTGCTTTTTCCATCACTAAAAATTATTCAACACTGGGAGGCAGCTCCAGGAAAATCCCTACCTTTCACTGAGACTGAAATTAACTATTAATTCACTACCAGAGTGAAAGAGTATTATATATACGACAAGAACTTCCATGGGTGAGCAGAGAAAGTGGGTTGTGGGAGAATATCAAGGTGCTGGAACATAGTAGGTGCTCATTAAATATTTATATCAACAAAGTTGAAATACCCATGTCTACCAGGCAATATTTTAGAAATGAGTACAGTTTTGTCAATATTTTTATATTCTATTCATTACCTCCTATTATTCTATGCATATGGACATTTACACCAAAGGAATCTCTTCAAATATTCTATGGAGCAATTTTTAAATATTCAAAGAGCTGAGATACATTTCTCTCCCCTTCCCTCCATCGTAACTATTGCTAGCAATGATATTTACACAACATTTGCTTCAATTTGTATGTGACTAATTTGCAGACATCTTCATTTTATGTTCTAATGTGAAGATTAAATGAGATGGTTCAGGCAAAGCACATAGCACTGAGCACATAGTAAGAGCTTGTTATGATGATGGTGGGGAGGATGATGATAATCATGATGATGATGATGATGATTTTTAAAAGCATCTATGCAAAAGGTGAGGTACGTATGCCAAGTGACTGAAAACTAACATCAATGCAGGACAAATGGAGCATTCTTTGTTTTAAACTTAAAACTCCAGAGGGTCATGATTCAGGGTTGTTTACTCGTATCTGGAACATCTGAAAATGCACCAGGTCGAAGTAGGTACTTAATAAATATTTTATATTTACAGTAAATATTAGTATTGCCACAAGGGTATCATGAGCATTAGGTTTCAACCCTCCATCATGAGACCAAGATGGATATGTGTACCCATGAGTCTGAGATCTCTAACGGATATGCCACCAAGCCTGAAGCCTGGTGTTCTAAGGCCCCTATTGCTTACAGCTCCAGAAAGAAAGATCCACTCATCAGGGCTGAGAATGATGGTTATTATTTACTGAGCATATACTGTTACCAAAGGCTGAGGAAGGGGAAGTTCGGGAGTTACTAATCAATAGGAATAAAGTTTCAGTCAAGTAAGATGAATAAGCTCTAGAGATGTGCTGTACAGTAATGTACCCATTGTCCACAATGTGTTCTACACTTAAAAGCCTGTTTAAAAGGTAGATCTTGTGTTAAATGTTCTTACCGCAGTGAAGTAACAAATAAACATTTTTAAGTGTATACCTTTTTGTGACTAAAATAATTAAATATAAAAATTCAAATGATGAAAGCATTGGGAAAAGAATAAGTAAATATAGTTGACATCCAAAAGAGTGGTGGATTTGTGACTTAAATGATAGGAAGTGATCATAAAGGAAGAAGTAAGTGCTTGATTAACAAAATTAAAAATTTTCACTTGTGGGGCGCCTGGGTGGCTCAGTCGTTGAGCGTCTGCCTTCGGCTCGGGTCATGATCCCAGGGTCCTGGGATCGAGCCCCGCATCACGCTCCCAGCTCCGTGGGAAGCCTGCTTCTCCCTCTCCCACACCCCCTGCTTGTGTTCCCTCTCTCGCTCTGTCTCTCTCTGTCAAATAAATAAATAAAATCTTTAAAAAAAATTTTTTTCAGTTGTAAAAAAACATGTTTACCAAGCACATATTGTGTGCCAAGCGTGATGCTTAGTATCCCACCCTATTAAGGAAGGAGAAGAGCGGTTGAGATCTCAGATCCCTGGAATCAATCTGCCTGGGTCTGAATCCCAGCATTGCCATTTACCTTGAGCAACCTAGTTAAATCTCTCTATGCCTCAATCCCTACGAACAGACATAACAATACTAACCAACTCACAGAGCTGATGTGGGGATAAATGAATTGGCATGTGTGAAGTTCCTAGAACAGAGTAAATGTTATACAAGCCTTAGCTATTGCCATCCCCACCTTTTCAGCTGAAGAAACTGGAGTTTAAAGAAGTCGAACTGCTTGGTTTATAAGAAGCAGAGCTGGGACTTGAACCCAGGCTGTTTGACTACAGATGCTTGCCACAGAGCAGAAGTTTGACATACAGCAACATCTCCATGGCGACTCTGAAGCCTGTTCCTCAAATCTGAGTGGTTTCACCCCACCCAGGCAAGGGCAGGACTGCCAACTAGGGCTCTATTTGGTTGAAAGGGAACCAGAATACACCAAGGGAAACTCCCGGCCTGCCCGCCTGCGCAACCTGCCTGCACTCACCATTGGTTCAAAATGGAGGCTGTGGACCAACAGCGGGGAGGTGAAGACAGATTAAGTCACAGCCTCTCAGACGCAGCAACTGCGGCTGTGTTCTGTCTCCCCAGCCACAGAAAGGGCAGCTGATGAGGAGAAGCGGCTATGTCCTCCCCACCAACATTCACACTGTGTGACCGCCCAACCAACAAGAACGGCCTCCGTTTACAACACTTTGCAATGTGCCAGGTACTGTGCGGGGGCACTTTACAGGCACGTCTCTCTCGGATCCCTGTGACAACCAGCTGAGACGGGTGTGTCACTTTGCCCTCTCTTCAGAAGAGGAACTTGAGGATTAGTGAGAACAAGTAAACTGCCCCGGGGGCACAGAGTTAAAGAGGAGGGCCAGGCTCAGTCCAGACCTGAGTCATAACCCATCTAAGTGTGCTCTCTGCGACAGACTGACATTGGTGCCTCGCCAAAATTCGTATGTTGAAACCTGATGGTATTAGGGGGTAGGGCTTTTGGAAGGTCATGAGGATAGAGCCCTCACGAATGAGATTATAACAGAAACCCCAGAGAGCTCCCTCACCCCTCACCCCTTCCGCCATGTGAGGACACAGCTGGGAGAGCTGACTATGGACTAGGAAGAGAGCTCTAAGCAAACACCCAATCCACTGGTGCCTTGATCTTGGACTTCCCAGCCTCTAGAATTGCAAGAAATAAACATCTGTTGTTTAAGCCACCCAGTCTATGATATTCCATCATAGCAGCCCACACAGACTAAGACATTCTCCTCCCAATGTGCACACCAGACATGGCGAGTGCAAAGCAAGGACTCGGGTTGCAATAACAATGAGGTCCCTCCCCCAGAGGACTGGGGAAACATAATAATGGACGGATGGATGGACGGACGGACGGACGGACGGACGGATGGATGGATGGATGGATAGATGGATGGATGGATAGATGGATGGAAATATTCTCTCTAATGCTTACAGTCACTCTGTAAATTTTAATCTTCCGTATATAGGAAAAGAAATTAAGTTCCGAGGGGTTGTATCCCTGATTTGACATCACCCAGGTAATGAGTTTCCGCTGGGACTCAAACCTTAGCATCTCTAGCTCCCACATCGTACATGGCACTCTCTACCACACAGAGCTATAGTGAAGATCAAAGGAGACATGGTGTATGAATGTGTTTTGCAAACTCTGCACTTGGAAAGGTTGGTAACTGATCTTTAACACAGAGGCAAAGCCTAAAGCCCAAACAGCGCAACTGAAGTGGAATTTTAATCGCCAAGAAGAAATGCGAGTACGTGGGGGACATGATGGCTGTCACTAGCTTTGAAATCCAACCGTACTGTGGGCTCACAGCCACTTTCTCCGGAGGCAGGTGGTGTTCAGAACCCCCAGCTTTGGAAATGCAGAGTTGCAAGATGACGCAAAAAGCACTGAAAACAACCTCTGCCCAATGCGGGACCCTCAACTCTGATGGAACAAAGAGGTGACAGCTTAATACCAGGAAGAGGTATACCAGAGGTGGGACTCAGAAACCATTGTATACATGCAGCCTGCTGCATCCAGGCGTTTCTCAGGTCTCTCA